GTGGTATCATACTCTGGGGATTTACAGCATTATATGTATCGAATAAGATCCCATTGTAAACGATACACGGTAATTACAGTAACGGATTTACAAGGTACACTATAGTACAATTCCAATAATGAGACGTTAAAGGAAATACGTTTATATCTAAATTTCAAATTAGCGGAACTCATTAGCAAGGTATGCCTTCCGTGTGACGTGTTCCACTTAGGATAAACGTTTAATTGCACTTTCGTGTAAGCTATTTGCTTTCGGAATTTGAAAAGAGGATGCCTTCCTCGAAAGATTACGTTGAAGGATTTCGTTTTTGAATTTAGGGTCTTTTATACTTCGTTAAAGTTTTAGGAGATACATACAAAGAATTTTGTATATCGTTTTACAACGATAACTCGAACGAGAGATGTCGCCTAAGCTCTGGCTACATGCTCTCAATGGTTCATACTTTTATAATATGTGTCAATTGTGTTTCGTTTAGTTTTGAACTGGAATTATGGTCTTGATGCTGGAAGAGTATTTTATCTTTATTTGTTTGACAAGCGATAAAATCGTTAACTAATACTGTTTTAGACCTCTCTAACCCGGTAACTTAGCAAGCCTACAAAAGCCGAAATCTTTTAATAAATCAATATTGCAGAAATCGTTCCGAAAAATATGCGTTGAGCCATAGTTACGAAAGAGTTGTTAAATCTTTATTATTTCTGTACAAATAAGGGGTACAGTAGTTTCTTTCTTAACAAAGATTTCATGACTCACTGTATTGTCAAGCTCGAATCGTGGTAGTCACTAAAGCACCTTATTCCATCTGTATAAAGCTGATTTTTCCTAAAAACCATTGAAAAATGTTGAACGAAGAAATAGTAATTCGTTTGTATATGTAAAACAGAATATTTCTTATCTTACGCCCAAGTCGTTGTTTGAGTTTTGTTGACAAACTATGCATCATTCCATTTTCATAATAAGTTGCGCCAACACAGTATTTATCCTCAAATGGTATAACAATATGACCACGTATATAACTCCATGTTGGTACTTAATTAGTCGTATATACTGAGCGGGCCTTGAGGTTCATACCATTGGGCAGAAGTTTTCAGTAAATACAAATGTTCCAAATCGATAAATGTTCACTGCAAACTGAACATACTGTACAAGAAGAATATACTTCTGTACTAAAAAAATTACATTATTTGTCTTCATAAAAATTTACATCAACGAATGTATGGATCACAGTTGAAAAGTGACTTTAGTCCTATAGATTCCAGCGAAATCTAAAAAAATTTTTTGTAAAGACACATTTTTATATATAAAATGCATTTGGAAGCTATTGAGAATGAGTAAAAAAAAATATTTTTGCAGCCAATGATATTATATACAAATAGGAATTGATGATACTAGCGCAACGAAATTGAGGCACTCAAATTACGCTTGGTGTAATTAGATTGGAATTCTATAGACTGCTATCTCTTTCCTATCATACGGCCCATATCATCTGTCACCTTCACTTATATATGTCATATAATGTGAAACGGCTAAATTTTTAAACGCCGCAGTATGGACATGCGTCTACTAAAAAAAAAAAAACACCATTTTCTGCAGTTTAGTATTGAGACTCCTACATAAAAAATATTTACTCGAACTTTTATTTACCTAAGTAATCCAAATAGTAAAATAACCAACAAACATATTTCCTTATTTCAATACCGTGAATTACTGTTAACGAATTTGAGGTAAAAATAAAGCTAAACTCATATATTGAGTCATAACGTTTGCTTTGTTTGATAGATTTAGTGTTAAATTTGAATTCGCTCATGGCGGTCATCTTTAGTGTTGCGTTCGAAAATCGAAAGAAAAAAAAAATATTTTTAAGTAACTTAAAAGTGTAAACCAAAACGCATCCTTGTTTTTTAAAGTAGTGCTAAAAGTTCTTAAGCAATGCGATTTTTCTAGCGTTTGAGTCAACAGTTTTTCTTTTTGAAAAAAGCTTATTTAGTGCAAGTGATATCTGATGTGTGAAAAGTGTAATAAAATAATTTACTTTTTAAGTGCCAAATGAGGTTATAATGCCGAAGTCGGTTCAACTAATCAATAAATAAGTGCGAGATGAATCAAGCATGGAAACGGAGATTCTGCTGGGTCACGAGAAGCAAGCTTTCAATACTATGGGTCAGTTTAACTTAGCCAATATAATATTTTTACCGAAACTTTTCTTGGAAGTTGTTGCCTACTTCCAAGAAAAGTTTAACGTATATTATTTAATTGGGCCCCCACCCATCTGCGTGACTATTTAGCATAATCTTGTTGGCGATGCTTTAAGTTAGCTAATTGTAAGTACAGAAATAGTTGTTGGGGAAGAATGGTTCTCGAGTGGCAGCCCTGTAGTAACGGTATGTCTCTGCGTCATAGAGTTCGCAACGAAGACATCAGAAGGCTCAGAAGGTTAGTAAAGCTGAAGTGGCGATGGGCCGGCCATATAGCCCGTAGAACTGATAATCGTTGGGGAAGAAAGTTTCTCGAGTGGCAGCCTCGTACTGGCCATGCAGTGTAGGACGACCACCCACTAGATGGAGTGACGACCTGTGCAAATGTGCGGGAAGTCGATGGATGCAGGTGGCTCAGGATCGTGCTTCGTGGCAGTCTGTGAAGAAAGGTTGTGTTCAGCAGTGTACCTACTCTACTTCTAAATTATAATGATGATGAAATATGTACCGAAAAAAATTCTTTAACTCTAAATTATAGTTTCCAGTATTAGTATCAACAACTGTTTAGTCAATTCATTTGCTTACTTTTTTCATATTATTTTCATAGATTTTAACTTATTAGTGTTTAGTGCCCAGTACTGATATTCAAACCTCCAAACTTATATACGTCCCTTCCACTAAGAAATCACTGATAAATCTTCATAAAAATGTCATAGTACCAAGTCTTCTTAGAAAGGATATTAGATATGTATTCCAAACACTGTACGGAAACGACCTTTAGATACTTGTGTTACAGTTCATTTTTCCTTGTCGAATTTTCTTTTGATGTAGTGTTATTTGACACACATCGGACGCCGTTTTTCCGTGTATTCCCGTAGTTCGATTAGTAATTACGGATATTTGTTTGTGTAATGAAAATGATTAATTCACGGTTAAATGTTGACTTTAGTTAATGAAGAAAATATAAATAAAAAGTAAAGTAACAGCCTACACATGTCCCACTACTTGGCATACCATTGGCACGACAGAGGGATACCCTGGGCATAGTCCACCACGTGGCCCCACTGCGGATTGGCGGACTTCACATATCATCGAAATATTTTTTTCCTTATTATTTCGAAAATATGCAGTTTTCCTTCACCGCTGAGCGCGTGATAAGTCACCACTTAAAATTAACAATTTCGTTGGTGCCGGCACTCGGGATCGAACTCGGGCTACTCGAATATATTAAATTAAAAGTAAGCGCCTGGCATTGGGCTATCACGGCTCATGTTGATGAAGAAACCTCAGAGTAAATATAGCCAGCATTTGCCATTCCGAACTGCGCGACACACAAACCCAATTATTACAAGTTGCAAATGACAACCTACGGTACTGAGACATGTTCCTTCACTGCGGCCAGCAGCTATGAGGAAGCTCAACGTCACTCAGCGAGCTATCGAGCGGTGTATGCTCGGTGATTCTCTGTGTTATCGAGTTAGCAATAAAGACATCCGCAGACGAAGATCACCGACATAGCACCGAGGATCGATAAGTTTAACTGGTATTGCGTCGAATATATAGCTCGAAGAACCAATAACTGATGAGAGAGAGAAGTTCACTGGTTTCAGCCTCGTACTGGCCATCGCAGTGTAGGACGACCCCCATAGATGGAGTGACGACCTGTATAAGTGTGCGGGAAGTCGATGGATGCAGGTGGCTCAGGATCGTGGTTCATGGAAGCCTGTGGGGGACGCCTATGTCCAGCGGTGGACGAACTGGCTGACATCGTGGTGATGATGACGAATGGGGTACATCCGACTTATTTCACCCCAGAAATCGTAAGAAGCTGTGAAAGTTTAATACAGTGAGATTAAAAAATGAGCAAGGACTTAAAATTATTGTAGAGAGACGGAGAGACTGTTTGCATACACCATGGTCCGTTCCGTAGAACCAAATAACATATCTGCACGGTAACTTACACTAATACGTTTGCTCAAATTGCAAAAAAAAAAAAAACAATTGTATCACATTATTGACTCGAGACGTTTCATAACGTTAAGAGAGTTTTATAATTCACACATTATTAAGTAATCAACATCCGCAAATACAGAAAATATCTAATCGAAAATCGGATAGTGCAATCAGATCTGTGTCGAAGATGTCACAATACTGCAACCGGAAACCATTCAACATGTAACGGGAGCTTGCATAACTTCAATCCAAAATAGCAATAGCAACATGTATTTCGCCTGCAGTAGGTATTCGAAAAAACATAAATACTGGACATTTTAATTTTTATAGTGCTAATCTCTGCACTTAAGATTAAACATTAAAATTTGTAGAAAAAGGAATGAAAAATTTAAAACAGGACGGAACCAAAACGGCGATGACCGCTGTACATTTGTTTCACGATATACGATTCCAAAGTGCGAAATGAAACGCGAAACGATACGAAACCATTGCAATTTATGCTCAAAGTGTGCCATCGGCGGGAAACGATAGCGTATCTGCTGCTTCCGGCCGTGGCAGTGCGAACTCGTCTCGGGGCGATGCGTTTACACCCTGGAAATGAGCTGATCGCTCCAGGCTCCGTCAATTGGACCTGAATATGTTGTAAACACGTTCTAATTTCCAAAAAACGGGTAAGAAAGGCCAGCTAAGTTTCTTTCGAGATTTTCATTTCCAAACCGGTAGCAGCATTTTATAATATACCTAATATATAACTTTCTATTGTTTAACGAAATAATAACAAATAGTATCGACACAAAGTAAACTATACGCACCAGCAGATGATCGTGTTAATTTCTTATCACTCGTCCCCAGGCGGAGCTGGTCGCGGCGGTGAGGAGGCGCGGCCGTGGGGAATGCAGCGATGATGAGGAGGACCTTGGCCTTCCGCGCAGCCCCCCCGCCTCCCCGCCCACCGACAAAGCTGACAAGGTGAGGCGCGACTAAATTCTAGTATTTCCTTTCTAGCTTCTTTTTATCTATATCTTCTTTCTTCCTATCCAGAGATACTTGCGAAAATACAGTGTATGTGGTTCGCAATTCCTTTCTAGATTCCTCCCATCCTGAGATACTTGCGGAGGTACAGCGTCTGTGTGATTAAATTGTCGCGCGAATGTTTCGCCTAAGTAATACTTTTAAAGACATAGATCTCGTCGCATTCACGTTTCAGATGCATTTAACGCCATCTACCGGATAAACATTTAGTGTACGTGCATTCGTTAGAGAGTTACACCAACTATGAAATCGTAATACGCGTAAAGGCAAATAGATGGCGCTATTGCCAAATAAATTTTAGAGCTGCTCTTTTTTTCATTGCATTGTTTTTTTGCTTTTATGTTTAGACACTTCCTATAACTCTTGCACATTTAAAAAAAATGTTTTCACGTACATCGACAGCTGTCCTAATGATTATCGCTGATTAAGCTGACGTCAAATTTTTGGGGCAACATTAAGTTATTATCAAACGCGCATATCAATTTTTAGTGCAATCACTGGAATTATTACGTGAACTGCATTTCTTTAAAATGATTCATGGTTACGTTTTCATCATTTAATTTGAGTTACTCTTCGTAGTAGAGTTCAACTACACTGTGGTAGGGCCACGCAACAGTCTGCAACCCTGCGGGTGTTGCAAATGGCCACAGGCGGCGGTTATGGTGGCGGGGTTAACATCAGGTGAACCGCCGGCTCGCCTGCCACCTTCTTCCTCTAACTATACCTGACCTATGTAAAGATTCATAGACATCTCTTACGGAAACTTCAGATAAGCTGCCTTATGTATATATCAGTTTACAAGCGAACCGATATCTAACAGATTACAGTTCTACGAATGATTTATTGCCGACTACGGTTCTTTTTATACGCGTTCACTTGCCGGTTTTGAATACAGATGCTTAGAGCTTGTTCCTTTGTTCTGTTAGCTACTCTTCTGATCATGTTCCTTACTATTTTTCTTCGACATTATTATTTCAAATAGTTTTATTCCACCACTGAACTCGGGCCTCGCCTATAGATTTCCATAACATAACATTATGGGGTACTGTAAGAACCTTTTGGACAGACACATACGGTATTTCACGTGGACAAACGCCCATATCCGAAACAATTATAGGTATTGGCTTCGGCGTCGGGGGTCGTGGGTTCGATTACCACACGGGACAACTATTTGTGCGACCCACAGATAGTTGTTTCGCATCTGGGTGTTGGTCCTCGTGCAATTTATGTTTGTAAATCGTCCTTACAACACAGGATAATGTTATCCTAAAGTGAGGGCAATGTAAAAAAAAAAAAAATTATCTGTGGCTCACGCAAATAGTCCGTGGGAATCGAACCCACGATCCCCAGCGCCGGAGCCAATACCTTGGCAACCGCGCCACGGAGTCATCAAACATCGCATGTCTTTTTTTTACGTGGGACAAATCCTTTACGGATCCCCCGCCGCCTTGTGGGTAGGCAGCGGGGGTATGTGGGAGTCCCCAGGGACACGGGGGTACCCACTAAAAACCCACGTTGCACCTGCGTTGTCGCTTTTGCCGGGGACACAGGAACACGATAACGCAATCGAAACATCACATGTTGGCAACACTAAAAGAAGTCATACCTTGAGGTTGTTGGCAACACTAAGAGAAGTGTCATTCTATGGGGTATAAATAAAGCTGCACGAAGCATTTCATGGTCTTTGTTGTCTTCGTTGTCTTTGTCTGGTTGTCAACAAGAAGTATACGCGATAGTGCTGCCCAATCGGTATCACAAATTAAATCGTTAGAGTGGTGTTTCATTAGTTATATTAAAGTGATAAAATAAGTAATTATACCAGTGTTATTGTTGTGCAAAGTGAAACTACGGTGATTTTGTAAACCTTCTTAGCTCGATAAAAAAAAATTAAGCTAACACCCATGTCTGTCCTAAGCTCTATAACTTCTTGATTATAAAACTTGTGACGCAACACCGTTTTAGCTACAGCCAGCGGAAGTCGACCAGGTCATATGGGTGTATTGCAAAAAGCGTCCGTACAGACGTTGACAAATGGCCCGAGTAACACGCTCACTTTCCCTTCCATGATTGTTTCGTCCGTCCACTGATGATGGCATATATTATCTGTACCGCAGTTTGCACGACGTTTTTGAACACGAACTCTATCTAGGCAATCTCTATCTAGCGACCTGCCGCGGCTACGCACGCGTGCAATGTTTTATACATATAAACCTTCCTCTTGAATCACTCTATCTAGTAAAAAAACCGCATCAAGATCCGTTGCGTTGTTTTAATGGGCTAAGCATACTAGGGACAGACAGACAGCGGACGACTTTGTTTTGTACTATGTAGTGATGGACAGTAATCTTTTCTATTTTATTCTATATTTTTCAAGTTTCTTCTTTTGTGAGAATAATAAACAAGTTTCACCTTATGAGATCTCGTATTTCGCGCGAACACTACGTCATTGTGCATCTTTTGCAATATGTCATATTCACAGGTTGCTTTAGAGGACTATTAAGAATATTTTGTATTTGTCCGTACCTACGTCTCGTTACTAGAAAGATGCAATGTTGCAACCTTCAGTGATTAAAAATAAATCGCGATAAAATTGATGTCTGTTGTCGCAGTCGCTGTCGGCTTCGATGACGTGGGTCGTGGGTTCATTTCATACACGGAAGGTATTTGTGACCCACGGGTAATCGTTTCAAATCTGGGTGTTTGTCCGTATTTAATTTATATATATAAAACCTTACGACATTGAGCAATATTTCTACAGCGATGGTAATGATTCTTTGAAAATCCGTAAATATTTAATCGAAAATGACACAGAGCTCAATTGATATATAGCACTCTTTTTGTCCACGGGCAATAAAGGCATCTTCACTTGGTGGGACTTGCAATAGATTCAGTTAAGATACATTAGTGATGATAGTTAAGACCAGTTTTTTGGTTAACAATTAATATTTGATGGGTAATCATCAAATATTAATTGTTAACCAAAAAACTGGTCCTCAACTGATCTTTTTTTTGTAAGGGAGTGGCAAGTGGTGAGGAGCTGGCCTGATGTTAAGTTATAACCGTCACCATGGGCATTTGCAATGTAGGCCTAGGCTTGCAGTTGCATTACCACCATTTAATAAAGTGGGCCCCGGCTACCTCACTCACCGAACGAAGCGCAGAAGTGCAACACTTCCACTTCAAGCTGGTCTTCTGTGAGGTCGTGGTACTTCCCCGGACGGATCTGCCCATTCGTGCAACAGCGAACACTGTTGCGTGACCCTACCACAATTGCGTCTTTCTAATTTTTAAACAAATGACGCTATGTATTGTATATACAGCGTGTCGTTACCATCGCGACAATAAATGAACACACGTCTAACGCTACTTGCCAATAATCATAAAACAATATTAACGTTAAACAGAATACATAATTATAAAAAAATATTTTTCAAACAAACTAATTAAGTAAAAAAGAAACGAAATTTGTAACAACTTGCGCCACAGAGCCGCATTACAAGCCTCTCCTTCTAACAGTATGTTTTGTCTCTTTTAATTTCATTCAACCCATTCATATGTTTTGTGACCTTTACAAATGAACTTTACGTTACAGTTTTAAACGTAAGGGTGACCTAACATTATTTTTTTTTGGAAAATTTAGTAACTCTGTAAATATTGATGTTTAAAGAATGTAAATGTTTAATACAATTTTAAAAAGTTTTCCCCTATATTTGTGTTCATTTATTGTCGCGATTGTAAAGACACGTTGTATATATGCTATGCTAAAATGGCTGTGACACAGCATTGTAAAGGACACCTGCCCAGCAGTGGGACAAGATAATTATAAGGTATTGCTATACTATACGCTACTCAAATGGATTTTGCGCAGCTCTCTACTAAATTCGCTAATGGACACTAATTTGTTGTGTTACTTTCACTTTCCCGCGCATTTTGAAAATCGCGCGTAAAAACTCCACTGGGGAATATTTCCTGAAGTATCTAGTGATGTTTTATTTGAATAGTTCTTCATTCACCGTAAATTTTGTAAATAACGTTTCGTTAAGGATACTTCTAAACATAATCATTTGGTTAAGAAATTATACTGATTATATTGCAGTTGTTTTTTATTCATGTTTCGAAGGCGAATCCATAAAAATCACAGACACAATATACTGTACCTGCCCAGGATCAGAAAAACATTTAGCCAGCGCACTTTTTATCGTGTCGGGATCAATCATGCTTTAAAGAAAATGACGCATGTCCATACTGAGCGGCGTTTAAAAATTGTTCCGCCTTAAATTATATGACATATATAAATAAATCTGACAGATGAGATAGAACGTATGATACGGAAAGAGATAGCAGTCTATAGAATTGCAAACTAATTACATCAATTGACCTAACTTGAGTGCCTCAATTTCTGTGCGCTAGTGTAATATCTACCTCGTATTTGTATATTGTAAGGAAAATTTGAATAAAAACACTTAAAAAAATGCTACGAACAAGAAATACGCTAGTTACAGTTAGATTAGCGAACCAGCAGAGCTTCAGCACTACTCTAGTGCTAACGAACAATTGATTTACCTGATTTTTTTTTTTTTTTGGGCTGGATGAGCCACTGTTGGCCTTAGGGGCCTTCACAGATCCAACGGACTTGAGGTGGCCGGGCGCTCGAGGCGCCTAGTCTGAACCTCGCGTATTTACTATTACGCGTTATGGTGACTAAGCTCGAGGGCTCCCGAAGGAACCTCGGCTCGGGCCGTCACGCTATTTAATTCACCGGTTTGGGAGGCCGCCTAGCTCTTAGGGCGCTTTGGCGGGGGCTCCATGGAGTGATCTGGCTCAAGGGTCCCCGAGGGGACCTCGGCTTGGGCTGTCACTCAGCACGCGTTTAGCATTCCGATTCGAGGGTGCCCGAGAGGGCCGGACCTCGGCTCGATCGGTAGCTGTTATCTGAC